GGAGCGCTGGGGAGGAAGAGCGGCGGCCGGGGATTGAACGGGGGAATCCCGGGCAACGTTTAACTTTCCCGAGGCCCAGGCGGTGCGACCCTTCCCTGGTCAGCACCAGGGGGTGCCCAAGGCCTCGCTGCATGAAGCCAGGCCCCGTCAAAGCCGAGACTTTAGGGGGTAAAAGAGTCCTCAGCAGGTTGGGGGTGGTTATATAATGAGTGTTTATGGAAGCCTTGGGGGGGGGTGAGGAGGACTGGGGGTGCTCACGCTACCTGGAGGAGGGGGCTCTGGGATGGGCCCGTGCGGAGGCACCAGTCATTGCTCTGCTGTGTCTTTCTCCCTCTCAGGGTCCCCGGGCGCCTGAACTGTGGCTGAGATTGGCTGTGGGGAGACCCCAGAGCTATATGTATATTCTGATACTGGGAGTCTGTGTTCTGGGCCAGGTGTGTGTGTGTGTGTGTGTGTGTGTGTGAGAGAGAGAGAGAGAGAGAGAAAGAGAGAGAGAGCGCTTGCTTGCGTCTGTGCCGGGTGGTGTGATGGGGTCTGACACGCCGTGTGAGTGTCCTAGGGGCTGGAGTGGTCAGGTTGGCTGAGCAGGGAGCCAGCCTGTCCTGTCTCTAACCACTGGGAGGTTCCCCAGCAGGCACTGGTGTGCAGGGTGGAATGCTGTGAAGATAGGGTGAGGGTCCATGGCTTCGCCCTGTGGGAAAGGTCTGGCGGAGGATTTCGGGCTGCAGTCCTCAGGCCCTGCCCACACCACACCGTCGGGCCACCTCTTGGATCAATGTCTTCCCTCGGCTCCGTGGCCTGGCTTTGGACACTCTTGTCCACCCTACAGGACAAACTTTCCGTTCAGGCTCCAGGAAGGTGCTGGGATGGGGACGGAGGGGAGTCTAGAGCCCCCCATCCCCTTCCCACCTCCACCATCCCTTCGGAGCCCGAGGGAGGGGATGCCAGTGGGTGGCAGGGCAGGGCGACCTGAGTGGGGACAGTTCTGGGGCTGCAGTGGGGGGAGGGAGGGAAAGGGAGGATCACATGGGATGGTGGGAATGGGGCTGAACTAGCACCAAACACAAACCACGGCAGGGCCTGGGCACCAGCCGCCTCCAGCTCCCTTCCTGGCGGCGCAGACCTGTCCAGGCTCACCCCCGGGACCGTGATGGCCAGCCTGGAGGAGGGACTCTGCACCCTTCTCCTCAGGCCCCTTTCCCGCTGCTCTGAGAGGGCATCTTCTAGAGAATCTAGACCCACCAGGGGGCCCCAAGCAGCAGTTTCCCTGTCCCTGCTCTCTGACTCTCCTTGACCTTGGATGGGGTGGTAGAGGCTGAGGTTGCTGGGAGAACCCCTCCTCTCCCGCCTCTGCCACTGGCTGCAGACGGCCTGGCCCTCCTGAGCCTACAGCCCAGCTGGAGGCAGTTTCAGCGACCAGTGTGACTGCAGCCTCTCTATGGTTCTGAACCCAGATCCACACCCTGAACCTGTGGGGGCTACCTCCAGCTCCTTGCCTAGTCCCCCTCCAGTGCCATCTCCTCCACCCTCACCCTGAGCCCCAAGTGGGGCTCCCCTGGGCCTCAGCCCTCCTAGGAGAGTCTGTTTCTAGGCACCACTCTGTCCCTCCCCTGCGCTGGAGAAACTGTCTCCTCCCACCCCCCCCCAACAGCTTCCAGCGCTGTCCAAGGTAAGAAACAGGCTCTTAGGGGCTCCTCGATCCCTCTGTCTCTCCCTCGGCTGGCTCGTTCTCTGAGTGCCCACCCTCCACCCCAGGTGCTCAACCACTACATCTGGGAAGAGGGGGTGCTGGGCTGGGTGCAGGCTCCAGGGAGACCACCCCCCCGCCCCCCGGCTGCAGGGTCCTCCTTCTGTCTCCATCACCCCTCCTTTTCCTTTCTCGTCCTCCTTCCCAGCCTCCGCTCCGTCTGACCCCTTCCCTCCCTCCTGTTTTTTTCTGCGGAATGTTTTCTTCCCACACATTCACAGGATGAGCTCTTGCGTTGTGCCCTCCCTTGTGCCCCCAGGAGTCCTGGGCTGGGCTGAGGGAGCTGTGGGTGTGTGATCTGGGGGCGCGTGGCCTGTGGGCTCATGCTCGGGTTCTGTGGTCTGTGGGTCTCTGTGAACGTGTGAGCATGCGGGGTCTGGGGACCTTAAGGTCCAGGGGTCCGTGGATCTGCAGGTCTGTGGGCGTCTGTGTCTGCGAACCTGTGGAGGGTGGTTTCATGGTCTGTGGGTCCATAGGGCTGTGGGCCTGTGGATCCTGATGTTCAGGAAGATGTGGGCTGAGTCTTCCCCCCTCATGGCTGCCAGTGTAAGGGGGAAAACAAATCTGATTTCCCGATTCCTGTGTCTCTCTTGTATTTATTGAGCACCTACTATGTGCCAAGCCCTGTTCTGGTTACTGGTGGGCACTACAGTGAACAGAAGGGAATAGACAAACTCTGCCCTCTTGGAGCTTCTGTGCCCGTGGGCGGGGCCTGGGGCCACCCCTGTGCCAGGTGCCATGCGGGCGTGTGGCCACAGGGCCTGGGTTCCTTTTGTGCTCTCAGAGGGGAGACCTAGGCTGTGCTTGACATGGGGGTGCGGACCATAAAGGCTGTGAAAGCACAAGGAGTTTGGCCGCCCTTGAGCAGGAGCGGATGAGCAGGAAGTGGTTTCCCCGGGGCGGAGGCCCCAGTCTTTTGGGCCTGGCCCTGCCTCACGAACCTTCCGCCTTCACCTCGGAGGCCCTACCTCTGCCAGCATCCCCTCCCCCTGTGCTCTGGCCGGGGCTCTCGCTCATGATGCATTATGAGAAGAGCATCAGGGTTTTCCCTCTCCCCAGTGCTGACCGCGGGCCTTGATGGGCAGTGAGGGCCTCGTGCCACTCTCGGGTGGTCCAGGGACTTAGATCTCCTCCCTGCATCACTCAGCCCCCGTCCTGGCTGGAGAGGCATGAGCAAGTCCATGATTGCAAGCACCACCCAGAGGGCCAAGGCACTTAGCATCACGGAGCGTCCGCTTCTTGTACACTTGGGACAGTACCTCCTACCTTAAAGGGTTTTTGTAAGGCCTACAACTGTCTCTACAGTGCCCAGCACGGGCCTGGTGCAGTGAAACTGCTTTTCTTTCACGAAGGTACTTTCCACATCTCCTTTCTAGCTTGCTATCCTTTTCGTGAGATAGAGAGAGAAACATGTTTGCATTTTACTCAAGAGCAAACAAAGCTTGATGAGACTAGATGATGCAGGGAGGGCGGAGCTGGGACTCGAACCTGGGCCCTGGGACTCCAGACCCAGTGCTCTTTCTGCTAGGACACCCGTCCTCCCCTCAGGGACCATGCTCACCCTGATTTGTAGCTGAAGTCAGACCCGGGGCCCTAATTACTGCAGAGTGAGTAAGAACTGATCAGCAGAGTCACCTGCTGGGAAATGTTCAAACACTCTGGGGGAGACGCAAACAGTCTCACTTGCTGGCACTTGGCATAAGGCTGAGAGCTGACAAACAAACGACGCCTAGTGACAGACACATGGACAGGGAGCCATGTGTTCAGAGCCCCACAGGCACCCAGCGCTTGCTCAAGGGCATCCGAACACCTAGTCTTTCACAGCCTTCCACGATCTGCACCCCCGAAGAACCCCAGGTTCTTCGGTCTGAGCCCTGGGTGGTGGGCTGCAACTTCCTGTCTTTTAACTGGTGACCTGGGTCTGGGCCTCCCAGATCCAAATCCCAGCTCTTTCGCCAAGTACTTCTTGACCTTGGGAAAATGCCTTAACCTCTCTGCGCCTCAGTCTCCTCATCTATAAAGTGGAGAGAGTAAAATCGCTTCTTCACTGGGTTGTAACGAGGTGCCCGGCACATAGTCAGTGCTGGACAAAGAATGGTGTCTACAGCTCTTGTTGGCCATCATAGGAGGGGCTGCCAACCCAACTCATTGAACACTGAAAAGCTGGGAGGGCTCGCTGTTGATTGTGGTGACAGGACCAAAGTGGCTGCAGTAGGTGGGCAGGCTCAGCTGGCCAGCCCAGAGCACGTTTTGTGTCAGGTCACGCATGTAGGGGCCAAACTGCAGGCATTCGTCTGTACTCTAGAGGAGCCTTGTCTTTGCTACAGTTCCTCCGAAGAAGATCTGAGGAGACCAGTGGACCACATGCCCCACAGGTGCGGCAGTCTGATTGGGTTGCCAGCCAGGCTGTGGGGCTCCCAGGCTGCATCAAGAGTGGGCCTCCCTGCAGAACCAGGCAGGTGATCTGTCCGCTCTGCTCTGGGTGACTTGGTGCAGACCTGGTCCAGCCTTTGTGGCGGAAAATAGGCAAAGGAGAATGTGGCTGGGGAGGGGGTCCCAAGGAGCAGAAGATCTGGAAATTGTCGCCTAAGGACTGGATGAGGAAGCTGGTGACAAGAGGCCTGTGCAGATGAGGCTGGGGGCGGGCGGGCTGTCGTC